TTTAAATTTTGTTTAAAAATACTTTTCAAACAATTCACAAATGAGTATCTCTTTGTAAATAACTTTTTTCAGTGGATCAGCAGAAGACTTCAGTGATTAGCACCAACAAAATTAGGAGCCTTCTTTTTGCGGGGAGGTGATGCACTATGTAGTTTTCAAATCAGATGGTACCCAGTAAGGTGCCAAGGAATTAGTCAAACATCAGGACAAACTAGTCTACAGTCCTTAATATTATATAGCATATGCTCCATAAAATAGATACATTTCTACATAAAAGGCTAAGCAGTTTCCAGAAATTAATTTATTTAGTCCACATTAAGCTTTATTACCAGGTCATGAGGAACGTCATGATATGTTTTTCTGTTTTTCTTTGCAAAAATGTATCATGACTTTCCTGACAACCCAATAGCATCCCCATAAGACAGAGAAAGAAACTAAGCTAAACAATTTGTCCAAAGCACTTCATAAAAGCATATTTAAAGAAAGCAAAACTAGTAGGTACACTATCTTTTTTATACAAATGAGACGTTAAGACTTGGAATTGGACCCAAACCAACGAGCCAGGAGTGCAAAGGCAAGTAAATGGAAACTAGACAAATTGACCCTAGAGCTGTGCTGCCTTTCACATGCTGCCAAAGGAAAGCTGTCTCAGAGGCCTCACAGGCTTAGGTCCTCCTCGGAGCATGGTCTAACTGCAGGCAGCATTCTGAGAAAGTTGCCAGGGTGGGACCGAGGAGATCAGTTGTGGCATGAGGATAGGTCAATTTACCCGGCTTAGCCTCTGTCCACCAAGCCTGCAGCACTAACTGGTCTGTGCTGTGGTTTTCATATCAGAAAAAATGAAGACCATAATAACTATCGCACAGCACCGATGTTAGGTTTAAATCAGCTAACATATATGTGTAAAGCCTGGCATGCTGTAAATGCTATATGCCTATTAGCTGTTGCCGCTCTGGTAAACCCAGAAGTTTTAAGATGCCAGAGGTGAGATGGTGACAGTGTTCCTTATGTGAATGATGCTCTCAGGCTGCACAGGGTACCCCCTGTGCTCCCCTGCACCAACAGCGAGATGGCAGCCACCACCCAATCATGGTGCTGAGTCCAGTGTGGAGGGGTTCAGAGCGAGAGCTTGGAAGTCAGTCACTTGTTTCAAAATCCCTCCTCTGCCCTCAGTGCATAAGTTCTTTGACTTTGGCTAATAGTTCATCTCTCTAAACCTGTTCCCTTCTCTATAAAGTGAGTATGAATAATATCTATCCTGAGAGGGCTGAAGATTAAATAATCAGACGAATATGAAGTGCCCGATATAAGTTATTCACTCAATAAACATTCACAAGGGACTCAGCAGTTGGCGTAATGGCTATGTCACTGGAATCCCATGTAGTCGACTGCAGTTTGTGTCCCAGACCTGGTGGCTTAAATTCATACCAGGTGTGTGTGCATGCATGCCCAAGATCCCGAGAGGAGAATGGAGGAGAAAGGATTGTGGCATGGCCATTCCCCCTGGGGAGGAGGGGAGATTTCTTGGTTTCTGTCTCTCTGTCTCTCTCTGTCTTTCTGGTGAGCTCATGTGCCCTATAGCAAAAACCTCTCAAAATAAAAAAAGAATTCACAGTATTATGCTGTAAGTCCTAAGCAGGGAAGAAAAGTCTTAAAAGCAGGTGTCTCTGATTTACTCAGAACTGCTATATTTGAAGAAGACTAGTATTTCCCTTCCACAGCGGCCTTGACATCAAAATGTCAAAATCACCACATCCAAAAATTTTAGGGGATCAGTAAGGCCACAGCTAACCTGATTCCAGGCTTCCAGCAGTGCCAAATAGAGACGTGTAAACTGAATTCCTAATTCTTACCCTGGCCCAACTAAAGACCTAGAAAGCTTCCTTGAATGTATCATTTTACCTTTTTCTAACTCAGTTGCCTCATCTGAAAAATTAATATCACAAACACTAATTTACCAGAAGTAGCACTGACTTATAGCATTGAAAGCATTTGTTGTTGGGACCAGCAGTTGGCATAATAGCTGTCACTGGACTCCCATGTAGTCAATCACAGTTCGAGTCCTAGACCCGGTGGCTTAAACTCACGCCAGGCACATGTACATGCATGCCCAAGATCCCGAGAGGAGAATGGAGGAGAAGGGATTGTGGCATGGTCATCCCCACTTGGGGGGTGATTTCTCACTATCTGTCTGTTTCTCTGGCAAGTGCATGTGCCCTATAGCAAAAATCTCTCAAAAAATTTTTTTTGTTATTAGAGTATATATGATAAAAACAAAGGGTATTCCATTTAAAACAGAGTATTTGAACATTGCATTTTTAAAGTCTATTTACCTAAATTCCAGTACACTAATATCCTTGTAGCCTGGTAGCCCAGTAAATGCATTTTCAACCTGTAAAATAAAAACAAAAATGATAATTATATATATAGAAATGTGAAAAATGGTATAGAAAATTATGCTTTTCTTTTTTTATTATTCATGATACAGACTGTATGCACAAATATGAGGGTGATAAAGAAAGAGCCAGAAAAAGGAGTGCCCTCTACAGGATCTGGTCACACGATGGTCTCTTTTCCCCAGCTTCCAGCCCACTGGGTCTCAGGCAGTCGCACATGTGCCCAGGGTGGGTGAAAAAAAAATTTATAATAATAATAAAAAAAAAAGAAAGAAGTACAGAGCAAATACAAAATTTCATCTGTGTGGAAATGCTGATAGAGAAGGACAGAGTAAAGAGTAAGAAATGCTATGTACTGTGTAAGTAGACTATTTCAGGCCCATTCATTCATTTACATGCAGTCATGCATCAGAAAGTTCAAATGCAAATGGAATTAAAGTATGAGTGTATTTTGGTGCAAAAAAATGAAATTCATGTATCATTTTCTCATAATCACATTTTACATATATTTTTGAAGACTCCTTATATAATTAAACAATTATAAAAAGTTACACATAAACTCCATGAAATGATTCATCAACAATGCTAAATAATTTCGGTAACTATCTAGACTAAAAATACTGTCATAGGGCCAGCCAGTTGCACGGTGGTTATAGTGCCTGGATTCCACATGGCCAACTGAGAAATTCTAGCCTCAAAAAGTCAGAAAACACACTGGGCACATGTGCTTGTGTACCCCAAATCCCAAAGCAAGAAATAGGAATGGGCATGACCATGCCCCACGGAGGGTGCTTTCTCTTCTCCCCTTCTCTCTGTCACTCTCTGGCAAGTACACATGCCCTTTAGCAATTTTTTAAATCTATCATAAAATCCAGTGGCTTCATATTAAATTATGGCCTATGTGCCTACAGGGCACTGTTAGCACTCCGTAAATGAGTACCACTCTTTTGATCACAAGGTTAACATCAAAAGTTTGGGTCATTTTAACATTCTAATCATCTCAAGAGGGCAGCAACTAGGCCTTTCGACTGAGTATAGACCATATATGATGTGGTATATCAACTGATATTCATATACCTATAATTTTACATATATATATATATGAGCAATTTATATACACTAACCGTATAAAAACCCAGGTTCAAATATCTCGTATCTACTAGTCGTATAACTTATAGCAAATCTATTTTCCTCTGAGGCAAAATTTGTTCTCTTCCAAAAGGAAAATAAAAGTAATTCACATTTTTACTAACCCACAGAGATACTAAGAAAATAAAATAAACAGAAATCCCCAGCACTTTACCATATCTCTGAAAGCATTTTTCATTAGACTATGTGTTCCTAAAGAGTGGAGAACAAGAGTTATTCATTTTTATATGCAAAGTTTGCCCAATAATTGCTCATATTAGGCACTTATAAATACTTGTTAAAATAATGTAAATGTAAATGAGAAAGTCAGAAAGCCCTTTTCAAATATATTACACTGAAGGAATATTACTATATCTCTGAACACATCCATAGTTAGCCTATGAATTTGCTTCATAAATTCCACAGTATTCTTATCAATCTTCTAAGAGAAGGTAAATTTTAAATAAATTTGGAATCAAAAGGCAAAAATGACAAGAAACCTTCACAAAGGGTATTGACTATGCTTTTATATTATGCATCTTCTAAGAAAGTCCAGAGAATAGCTGTTGTTGCAAATGAACTATGATGGAGACCAGTTTCTTCCCCTTCATTTACTACTTAGGATGATACTGTATTATATTATTGAATGATGCAGTATACTTGAAAATATTTACATTGCCTTATGCTATTATTTCTATTTTAAATTAAATGTAACTCAGTTTCTAAAAATACGTATCAGTCAGCAGTCTATAACATGGGTCTGTAATCTATACCTGTGAGCTAAATCCAGCCCATCATCCACAAATTAATGGAGTTTTTACATTTTAAATGGCTGAGGGAAAAAAAATCAAAAGAAAATGACTATTTTGTAACATGAGAAAGTTGTATGAAATTCAGATTTTAGTGTCCAAAGATAAAATTTTGTTGAAACACAGAGAGGTTTTTGTTTGTTGGCTTGCTTGTTTTTAGGATTTTGCCATAGGGCATGTGTGCTTACTAGAAAGAGACAGAGAGGAGAAAAGTGTGAAATCTCGCCCCAGAGAGGATGGTCACATCATAATCCTTTCTCCTACATTTTCCTCTCAGGATTTTGGACACGCGTGTACACACAACTGGCGTGATTCTCAAGCTGCTAGGTCCGGGATTCATACTGCAGTTGACCATGTGGGAGTCTAGCACCTTAACCACCATGCCACCTGCTGGCCCCAAGGTTAAGTTACAATGGCCTATATCTTCTCTCACCTGAGAGTAGCCATTAAATAGCTGCAATAGAGACCAACCATGTGGCCTATAAGCTTAAATTACTTACAATCTGATCCCTAGTAGAAAAAGTTTGCCAACTCCTGATCTGTAAGGAGATGACAGTGATATGGGAAGTGATGAAGAATTGAGTCATGCTCCACTGGGCCTAGGACTGACATTATTTCTATTTCCTGATTCCATGCACAGTACAGAAAGAGTCAAAAAGTACTCTACCTGTCACCTTCCTTGGTGGGCCTGAAGAGAAAAATGAAAGAAAAAATGAAACATGTGAAACACGGTTTGAGGCAGTTACTAGCACAGCATTCATCAAAGTGCAAGCTTGTTTTAGATTCCTCTGATTTTCTTTGAAATTGTCCCTTACATGAAAACACTGGCATAGTATCAGATACTTACAAATTCTTACAGATTGAAAGAAGTGAGCAAAGGTGAGGAATGTATTCCATTTTAAAGGCACTAGTCTTCCCTGTCTTTTAAATTTTGTTTAAAAATACTTTTCAAACAATTCACAAATGAGTATCTCTTTGTAAATAACTTTTTTCAGTGGATCAGCAGAAGACTTCAGTGATTAGCACCAACAAAATTAGGAGCCTTCTTTTTGCGGGGAGGTGATGCACTATGTAGTTTTCAAATCAGATGGTACCCAGTAAGGTGCCAAGGAATTAGTCAAACATCAGGACAAACTAGTCTACAGTCCTTAATATTATATAGCATATGCTCCATAAAATAGATACATTTCTACATAAAAGGCTAAGCAGTTTCCAGAAATTAATTTATTTAGTCCACATTAAGCTTTATTACCAGGTCATGAGGAACGTCATGATATGTTTTTCTGTTTTTCTTTGCAAAAATGCATCATGACTTTCCTGACAACCCAATAGCATCCCCATAAGACAGAGAAAGAAACTAAGCTAAACAATTTGTCCAAAGCACTTCATAAAAGCATATTTAAAGAAAGCAAAACTAGTAGGTACACTATCTTTTTTATACAAATGAGACGTTAAGACTTGGAATTGGACCCAAACCAACGAGCCAGGAGTGCAAAGGCAAGTAAATGGAAACTAGACAAATTGACCCTAGAGCTGTGCTGCCTTTCACATGCTGCCAAAGGAAAGCTGTCTCAGAGGCCTCACAGGCTTAGGTCCTCCTCGGAGCATGGTCTAACTGCAGGCAGCATTCTGAGAAAGTTGCCAGGGTGGGACCGAGGAGATCAGTTGTGGCATGAGGATAGGTCAATTTACCCGGCTTAGCCTCTGTCCACCAAGCCTGCAGCACTAACTGGTCTGTGCTGTGGTTTTCATATCAGAAAAAATGAAGACCATAATAACTATCGCACAGCACCGATGTTAGGTTTAAATCAGCTAACATATATGTGTAAAGCCTGGCATGCTGTAAATGCTATATGCCTATTAGCTGTTGCCGCTCTGGTAAACCCAGAAGTTTTAAGATGCCAGAGGTGAGATGGTGACAGTGTTCCTTATGTGAATGATGCTCTCAGGCTGCACAGGGTACCCCCTGTGCTCCCCTGCACCAACAGCGAGATGGCAGCCACCACCCAATCATGGTGCTGAGTCCAGTGTGGAGGGGGTCAGAGCGAGAGCTTGGAAGTCAGTCACTTGTTTCAAAATCCCTCCTCTGCCCTCAGTGCATAAGTTCTTTGACTTTGGCTAATAGTTCATCTCTCTAAACCTGTTCCCTTCTCTATAAAGTGAGTATGAATAATATCTATCCTGAGAGGGCTGAAGATTAAATAATCAGACGAATATGAAGTGCCCGATATAAGTTATTCACTCAATAAACATTCACAAGGGACTCAGCAGTTGGCGTAATGGCTATGTCACTGGAATCCCATGTAGTCGACTGCAGTTTGTGTCCCAGACCTGGTGGCTTAAATTCATACCAGGTGTGTGTGCATGCATGCCCAAGATCCCGAGAGGAGAATGGAGGAGAAAGGATTGTGGCATGGCCATTCCCCCTGGGGAGGAGGGGTGATTTCTTGGTTTCTGTCTCTCTGTCTCTCTCTGTCTTTCTGGTGAGCTCATGTGCCCTATAGCAAAAACCTCTCAAAATAAAAAAAGAATTCACAGTATTATGCTGTAAGTCCTAAGCAGGGAAGAAAAGTCTTAAAAGCAGGTGTCTCTGATTTACTCAGAACTGCTATATTTGAAGAAGACTAGTATTTCCCTTCCACAGCGGCCTTGACATCAAAATGTCAAAATCACCACATCCAAAAATTTTAGGGGATCAGTAAGGCCACAGCTAACCTGATTCCAGGCTTCCAGCAGTGCCAAATAGAGACGTGTAAACTGAATTCCTAATTCTTACCCTGGCCCAACTAAAGACCTAGAAAGCTTCCTTGAATGTATCATTTTACCTTTTTCTAACTCAGTTGCCTCATCTGAAAAATTAATATCACAAACACTAATTTACCAGAAGTAGCACTGACTTATAGCATTGAAAGCATTTGTTGTTGGGACCAGCAGTTGGCATAATAGCTGTCACTGGACTCCCATGTAGTCAATCACAGTTCGAGTCCTAGACCCGGTGGCTTAAACTCACGCCAGGCACATGTACATGCATGCCCAAGATCCCGAGAGGAGAATGGAGGAGAAGGGATTGTGGCATGGTCATCCCCACTTGGGGGGTGATTTCTCACTATCTGTCTGTTTCTCTGGCAAGTGCATGTGCCCTATAGCAAAAATCTCTCAAAAAATTTTTTTTGTTATTAGAGTATATATGATAAAAACAAAGGGTATTCCATTTAAAACAGAGTATTTGAACATTGCATTTTTAAAGTCTATTTACCTAAATTCCAGTACACTAATATCCTTGTAGCCTGGTAGCCCAGTAAATGCATTTTCAACCTGTAAAATAAAAACAAAAATGATAATTATATATATAGAAATGTGAAAAATGGTATAGAAAATTATGCTTTTCTTTTTTTATTATTCATGATACAGACTGTATGCACAAATATGAGGGTGATAAAGAAAGAGCCAGAAAAAGGAGTGCCCTCTACAGGATCTGGTCACACGATGGTCTCTTTTCCCCAGCTTCCAGCCCACTGGGTCTCAGGCAGTCGCACATGTGCCCAGGGTGGGTGAGGCTGACCGAGCCAGAGATTCGAACTGTGGTGACCATGTGAGATCAAGCATCTCCTGAGCCAGGTATTACCACTATGCCATGGAGTCAGTTCCAAAATCAATGCTTTTAAAAGTGAAATAAAGGGACCAGCAGATGATGGTATAATAGTTATGTCACCGGACTCCCACATGGCCAAACATGGTTCGAGTCCAAGACTTGGAGGCTTGAAACCTGTGCCAGGTGCATGTCCATGCGTGCCCAAAATCCCTAGAGGAAAATGGAGGTGAAGGGATTCTGGCATGGCCATGCCCCAAAGAAGGTGATTTTTTGCTTTCTGTCTCTCTGTTTCTTTCTGTCTCTCCAGAAAGTGTACACGCCCTATAGCAAAAAGTCTCTCTAAAAAATAAATAAAATGAAATTAAAAGTGCACTGTTTACAACTATTAGATGCTTGAATACATAGTTTTTACCACCACACTGCCACTTTCTTCTTTTTCATCTTGTTTTATAAGGTTTTAATATGTCTTAATATTGTTTTCCAAATTACAAACAACATACTTCTTATTGGCAAAGAACTGTTTTTTCCCTTATGTGATGAAATGTGGGGGAAAAAAAAAAGCATTTGTTTCAAAAGCTTTAGTAGCATTTTTAAACATTACTGTTTGGATTCTAAATCTGGCCACAGCACACACAATAACAGGCCACTGTTTTCCGTAGGTGGGGAAGTGTCTGCTGGCATGTTCCTTATCCCAGCAACACAGGAGAACCGTGACACACTTAACATTAGGTAGCAACCTGCGAGCCCTACCGCAGCCCCAGGAGAAGCTTCACTGCCTGCTCATCACAGAAGGGGTTCATGAGGCAGTGGCCAGGGAACTTGATTGGTCAAACAAATCAATTTATAAGCATCACGCCTGCAGGAGCCAATTTTATTACCGTCCTTAAAATCCTGCCATGTAACTTCTTATGAGCTTAGTGACTACAATGGGAAGAAAAATGCTACACTGGACTAAAATCTCAAAATAATAGGTTATGCACAAAAACCAGTTTAACAAAATTTAACATTAAATCTGTAACATTTCAGGGGGTGTCATTCTCAATAGATGGGTCACTATGGAGCTAACATCAAATAAGGGAAATAAATGAATGGATTTTAGCAACATCTCTGAGTAGATGCTTTTAAACAAGTCCTCACATAATCAGGACTAAAAAAAAAAAAATCTTCGTTCACTGAAGATCTTCATGCCTTAAGAGTAAAGAAACCCATGAAACTTTTCAGCTATAGTAATTTGTAGTCTTTACTCTCTGAAAGCAAAGAAAAATGCTATAGTCTTTGTAGGATGAGGGTGGGAGGTGGAATCTACAGGACTAGGAATCAGAAGACTGAGGGTTATCTCAGCTGTTTCTTCTGGTGGAGTAACCACACACAAGCTTTCTTTTATAGGCCTAATTCTGTCTTCCCACCTACTACATCAGTTTTAGTCAGATTGAAAGAAAACCTGCCTATGGCATGGTAATTAAAGTAGCTGATCCTACATGGCCAACTACATAGTTTGAATCTCAGACTCAGTGGCTTGAGAAACACACTGAGTGTGTGACCATGCAAGCCCAATATCCCAAAAGGAGGGAGAGATGAAAGAAAAGGATTACAGTGTGACCATTCTCCATGGAGGGTGCTTTCTCACTTGCCTCCTCTCTCTCTCTCTCTCTCTCTCTCTTTCTCCCCCCCCCTCTCTTCTTCTCTGCCCATCTCCAACAAGCACACACACACGCTCTGATAAATGAAAAGAGAGAAAGAGAGAAATGGCTCCTGAATGTCATCCTTTCCAAGCAGACTTTCTTTCTCCCTATGTGTCTTCCAATAATACCTAGAGGAGCTGAACAATTCAGGTGACTGCGTAATGGAGGAAGTGAGCGAGAGATCCCTTCAATTTACAGTAAACATGGTGACAGGATCCTTCAGAGACATGACCCCTGCTTCTGCTATTTTATGTAAGGTAGCTACTAGTAGACCTTCCATGTAAGAGACAGTGGATGTAAAGATGAGCTAGAGAAAGAGATGCTTCATGGTAGACCCAGACCCTTCATCACTCTCAAATCACCTCACCCCAAAAGCTACCTATCCCATAAAATCTGTGCTGAACATGTTTTTCAGTGTGTTTTTACTTTCTCTAAATACGTAATCATTCCATGCAATTGTTTACCCAAATACTAAGTTTATTAAAGGCTCCTTAATCCAGAGGCAGAGAGAACCAGACACCAATCCAAGACACTATCTGATGCCAGGTGGCCCTGGCTTGGCTGACATTTCTTCCACATACCATACGGCCTTGCGACTTGGCCACAATCCTAGGAAAACGAATCATCTGGCCTACGCTCCCCATGTCTGATGGCTGCAATGATGCTGTTTGGCTGAGAGATGCACATTTTTATTTCCCATCTAGACACAGTGTCTGAGGAAGGAAATTAATCCCAGGTAATGGAATTGACAAACGGCCAAGGAGAAGCCCATCAAAAGGGAATGGAAAAGAAATAAACAGGAAGGAATGATGTGCTCTGCCATCAGATAACGAGAGAGAGATGGGCACTCAAGGCCTTGCTACACAAGAACAAGGCACACCAGAAAAGGGACATGGAAGGGTCAGTTTCTGACTAAGAGAACACTGAGTTCAAGTCCTATATACAGAATTCTTCAGGAAAACAGTGTGAGAAGGCCTAACTCACATTTTTTAAAGTAATCCTTTTGTAAATATCTCCAACCAGGGAACAGAGATAGAGAAATTTTTCATTGGATATCCTTTTGTGCTTTTAAAGTTTATACCATATATAATCTTTTTTTAAAAAAAAAGAATACTAAAAAGTAGGGGCCAGATAGAGGTATAGCAGTAAAACACATCTCTCTGCAAAGCCAACCCACATGAAAAGATTCCAGATCTGCATCTGGGGATCTCCCTAAGTATACTAAGGCATCATGTTCCCATGGTCCGGCTGAAGCTGGGGGTAAATTGAAGTATCAAGACCCCCTAGGGGGTGCTGTCTCTCTGTCTCTCTCTTTTTCTTGCTTATGGAAGAAAAAATACACAGAAAATTTTTAAATAAAGAAGAATACTAAAAATGAAATTAAAAGAAATTAAATTTAATGTTCCCTCAAGAACAATATACTGTGCGGTTTCTCAAAGACAGTCATTTCTCTAAATACTATCATGTCAAAATTTTGCATAAGATACATTCTTCCTTGGCTGAGCAGAAAAGTTTGAAATAGCATGTAGTTGTTAGCCAATGGCAAGATTTTGTTTCTATAAAAATAACTCAACCTGTCTTTCTATGAACTTTGCACAACTTTCTGAAGAAATGATGAGATCATCCCAGGAACCAATAAGACAGACAGCTTGAATCCTAAACAAACTTGCCTTTACTGATGTTATGAAGATTGGCATAGAAGGGACATTCCTCAACAAAATAAAAGCCATATATGACAAACCCATTGCTAACATCATACTGAATGGAGAAAAGCTGAAAGCTAAAAATTGGAACAAGACAAAGCTACCCACTTTCTCTACTCCTTTTCAACATAGTACTGGATAGCCTAGCCAATGCAATCAGAAAAGAGAGTAAAACAAAAGGCATCCAAACAGAAAAAGAAGTGAAGAGTGAAATGATCTGTTTGCAGATGATATGATAATATGTATATAGAAAATCCAAAAAGAGGGACCAGCAGATGGTGAAATGACTACATTGCTGGACTCCCATGTAGTCAACCGCAGTACAAGTCCCAGACCTGGTGGCTTAAACTCATGACAGGCACGTGTGCATGTGTGCCTAAGATCCTGAGAGGAGAGGGGATTGTGGCATGACCATCTCCCCTGGGACAGGGGGTGATCTCTCACTTTCTGTCTCTCTGCCTCTCTCTGTCTTTTTGGCAAGCACACGACCCTATAGCAAAACCTCTTCAAAAGAGAGAGAGAGAGAAAGAGGAGAGAAAAGAAAATCCAAAAAGAATCCACCAAAAAAAAACCTCCTAAAATTTATAAATGAAGGAGAAGCCATCTGCATTTGAGCTGTGAACAATTCCTTTTAGGAGCTAGGACAAGTTAAGATTTGCTGCTCAGACTTCACCCTCCAGATCCCAATCTAGAATGGTTGCGCACCCTCTGTATTCTTCTCTCTGTCTCTCTCTCTCTGTCTCTCTCTCTCTCTCTCATTTTTTTATTCTTATTTTTTTATTTTTAATGTTTTTTCTTTGCTCACTGGTTCTCCTTTATCTTGCTAACTCTCACCATTTTCCCCTCTCACTTAGGAGAGATAAAGTGCAAGCCCTTTGAGAAGCCATCTGTATTTGAATTTTAAAAAATAGGGACCAGCAGTTAGTGTAATGGCTATGTCGCTGGACACTCATGTAGTCAACAGTGGTTCAAGTCCCAGACCCAGTGGCTTAAACTCACGCCGGGCGCGTGTGCATGCATGCCCAAGATCCCGAGAGGAGAACGGAGGAAAAGGGATTGCGGCATGACCATCCCCTCTGGCGGGGGGGGGGGATTTCTCGCTTTCTGTCTCTCCATCTCTTTCTGGCAAGCACACGCGTCCTATAGTAAAAACCTCTCCAAATTTTTTTTCTTTCTTTCTTTCTCTTTTCTTTTCCTTTTTTTCTTACCTTTATCATCTTGCTGCTCAGAATTCACAAATTGAGTGTCTAGACAGGTCTAGGTGCACAGTAGCCAAACATCTGAATACTATTAAGGTCAGAATAATCAATTCCTACTAAAGCTGCTGCATAAAGGGAG